AGATATAGACAATATACTATACTACTATATATATATATATATATATATATATGCGTATATATGCAAATTTATATTTGTAATATATATATGTATATAAGACAAAGTAACTATTTTTACACATTGCATATTTAAGCACTTATTCTGCTGCTCAATCGAAGACACATGTTATTACCTATATCGCATTTCAATTCTTGGGAGGGGTGCACAATATAGAGTCCAGTGTATAATATGTATACAAAAATGGAGCAAGGTAGCGATGTCAACTGGGACGTCTTGCGTCCTGATCGATAGTTAAATTTTGTTTTATTTTAATTTTATTCATCTCTTCCGAAGTTCCACCAGACTATCTATAATATATTCATATACATAGAAAATTCTGGAACTTCTATTATATATGTTTTTCTTCGCTTCATTTCTTATGCCCGTCCCCTGACTTACCCCAAAAGTAGTGCTAAGCTAACAGTTCTCTGAAGCGCTATGGAATGACTTCAGTGTACATACCTCGCGCTCGCGAACACCCCACACACTTAAAGCGTAAACAGTACAGGCACTTCGTGCGTAAGACAAACCAGATTACATTGCCACATACAACACTGCGAGACGTGTTTCATCACAGCTCACATTCCGAGTGGGCAGAAAATGAACAAACGCGACACTCAATTACCGATTGCACGATCACTCCCGCTTCTGTGAGAATGAAAATCGGGGCCGAATAGATAGGGCTGGCGTGTCCTTTTCCTCCAATTCGATTGGCTTAGTTTTGGCGGACAATTCAATTGGTACCACATCGGAATCCAAACGTAGGAAACCAGACTCGAGATTCGGCTTTATAGATATGTTAACAGCCGTGTCAGCCTTCGAGGCTGAGAGTACCGTACCGGTAGCTTGAGTGTCTGGTGCAATGGCAAGTTGTATGAGGTGAAGATACATATGGTGCACAAGAGGCGTCGCTTGAGAGCTTGAGAGATTCTCGGGGTACAGATATAGCGCTAAATGGAACCATATCTATATCGAAATTTGGCTATGGGAAAGCCACGCGCTGTTTTACGAACGGTACGTGGAATATAATAAGCCGAGATACATCGCGAACATGTAGAATTGAATAAACGAGATACATCGAAGTGTCGGGCAATCGACCATATAAACAAATTTTAGGCAAATGAAACCGGCGTCGCTTGAGAGATTCTCGGGGTACAGATATAGCGCTAAATGGAACCATATCTATATCTTAATTTGGCTATGGGAAAGCCACGCGCTGTTTTATGAACGATACATGGAATATAATAAGCCGAGTTAAATCGCGAACATGTAGAATTGAATAAGCCGAGATACATCGAAGTGTCGGGCAATCGACCAGATAAACAAATTTTAGGCATATGAAACCGGGACGTGCATTAGTAATTGCTGCACAAACTTACCGTCCTTCATTTTCTTGTAAGGTATCCTGAACCCTGGAGGGGTGTGATTTTGCTTCCTTTTCAGTGGTTTTGGTTTGAGTTCGTAGTGCCGCATAGGGCAGGCATCTCCCTACGAAATTGTAGTTGTATATCAATACACGCACAGATATTAATATTTCTACGTCAGATTCATTGTTTGCTGATACATGCGCCCTCCAATGTATAAGGTTGATGTGTTGAGATTCGGAAATACGAGTAGCAACCTGAACGACTTGTACATATTTGATTGTTACGAATCGCAATCAAAGAGCAAGTGGAAACTTGCGACGAATATGGAAGATAGGGACACACACCGCTGCACAAGAAGCCCTAAACTCGAAGTCGGGGCAAATCCAATGATGACGTTCATCACAGTCAATGCCATTTGGGCAATATCCTAAGTGGGTGTATGAATAATTGGCAGGTGTAATGGAGTCAATTTTGGAGGGAAAAAGCCAATAGAGGTGCCAGATTTGTTCGCGGTAGCACCGAAGGCTACAATACTCCAGGCGGATTTTTCAATACAAAGCCAGAGTGCTTTCACATGACCTTCAGTCAGCAATGCGAAACAACAAAAAAACAGAAGGAAAACAAAGTGTTTTAAGACCAGCACAAGAGTCGAACATTATGTTATCTTACCATTAATATACTTTTTACAGACCGCAATTTCGCGGCCCTTTTTCTGATGGAGGTCATAGCACTTGTCTCCCCTGTCACACGATCCCTTAATGAAAAACGATGTACAAATCGGCATCCGGTCTTTGTCGTGTATATGCTGTAGCGGGCAGTCGCCCTCAGAAATGCTGCATCCTAACTCGGTGACAAACTGTATTGCAAAAAAAAAAACAAAAAAAAAATACTGTATTCCACCTCCCATTGTACACATGCACATGCATTTACGCATCCATATTTGGTGCCAGCACATGCCTTCGAATTGACAATGGGCTAATCGATTATTTGTAATAGAACTGATATTTATCCTAAACGTGCCAAATAATGACCACAAGAGAGTCCGGAACACTCATTGCGCCAAGCTGAAATTCTCACATAGTATTGTGAAGAACACTGAAAATCATTTTCGTGTCGCCAACCGTATAATGACACTGTAGACATCAGACAGTACGATGAGGATAGGTGTCTTGAGAAGATAGAGTGAAAATGAACTACAGGCCCTTGTACACAAATGCTCAGAGAGCGAAACATACCGGTCTGCACAGTATTATCTTATCGGGATCATGTAAAAACTTGCAGGGATCATTCGTACAGCCTCTCCTGCCGTACAAATTGTAAAACTTGCAGTATGACTTCGACTTCGCTTCATTCCGTTTGTACTCGTTAGCATCCTATGATATTGTTTAAATTAGATAAATCAACAACCTGCGTCGTGCCTAGTTTGCCGCCACAGAGACAGGTTCAATCGAAGATAGACGGTACGAGAGTCGAACAGACCAGTGGGTAGTTTTTACACAATTTACGACTATCAGTTAATAGCGGTTACAACTTGCACCACAATTCCGCAACGCACAAATGGAATACGTACATTCATGCAATATGTAATAGGTACCAACTCATAATAGGGTACCGGAAAACTGCCGTAGGTGAATTTATGCGCCTTAAACACTGCGGCACGCCACTTGAAAGTAAATGCAGCAAATACTGATTCGTACCTAACATGTGTACCCCTACACGCATCTTGTGTATCTAGCATGGCCAACACTCACATTACTCTATAATAAATGTGAAACCCTGAGCATACTGCCCCCTTTCAGTCGAAGCAACTTGCATACCGATGTATCAAACTTGTGGCAATCATCTCTTCAACGAACACATACTGCTCTCCGTTCTCGTAAGCGACATACACGCCGCTGTATAAGTTCCACCCATACACACCCCGCCATAATTTTGTGTAATAAGGGACAAATAATGAATTCTTTCGCGTAAGCAACATACACGTCCCTGCAATATGTTTGTGGCACTCATACATACCGCTCGATGGTAGACGTGGTCGCCAATCACCACTCGCTCAGGTAAATCATCGTCATCGCTGGCCACTGCGATGGGGATACGTCGGCTCAAACGGGATAGATCATCAGCCACATCGAACAAAGTAGTGCCGATACTCACAACCCGCGCTTTCTTGCCTACAATTGGGAATTGCGGTAGCGCATTAGTGGTACATAATAGGTTTGATGCTGAGGGCACGGCTGGAGCTAAGGGCTTGACCAGACACTCGGCTGGCAAATACATATTATAATATAACTCGAAGCAAACACGGACCCAGTGTGAATACAATTGCTGCCGAATGCTTTACACATTCGTGTCCAAATTATCTAGCGAATAGCGGCGACGGAAATCGTATTCATGACAACGTGCAGATTGCAAAGGGTGAATCGATCGCAAATGCACGATTGACACAGCGGGGATGCAGCACTGGCCGCTACAGGCCTCGCCTATCAGCGAAGCAAGCGTAGTGTGTAAAGCAAGTAAAAATCGGTCATACAAAGCTGCTGCTAAACCCCACTGAATAACGCACTGAAACATCGAGTAGTTTAGGTTCGTTCCTATTATGCCATCGGACTCACGCAGCACAACAGTTGCTATAGGCCATTGACACCAATGGTAGTAATGTGTACAAAAACCTGTATTAGCAGCGCCAGATAATTCTGACTTATTTTTGCCGAAATGGCCACTTGTACATAACAAATGTCGAGGGCACCACTTAGACATAATCACAGACAAGTCTGGCGCACTCACTACTCACACAATAACGCCGCAGTAAGCAAATTGTACTACAGGAGAGAAACCAATTCAACAACGTACCTGGCGCAATTGTACCTGTGTGGGCCGCTGATACGGCTCGGGATGGTCTGGCACCGGTATGTGCCCTGGGCGGTCGTGGCAATGCAGGGCCTCGTGGTAGCTGTTTGGGTACGCCAGGCGCCGTCCAGGTCAACCCCTGCCCATTCTGACCCCTAGGCCCAGGAGGTCTGGCGCGTGGTGTATAGTGGGGTCTTGGGTGTGTATGTGTCTGAGTCTGAGTATACGATGTGTAAGCGTTCAGTTGCTTATTGGCATCAGTGGATGTGGTACTTGTGTATGGCTGTACATGTTCTGAGGATGTGCATTCATGTGCGCCGGATACACTACTAGCAGTCGGTTTAGGCTTGTACGTATCCACCACCTCTTTGGCCACCCATTTCTTATTGGGACCCCCTGGTATGGCACTATGGGGCGGCCGAGCACGTCTGTGCTCAGATACTTGTGCGGAAGCGACACCAGAGGATGTGCTGGCTTGATGAGATACTTTCGTGTCGCTCGGTTTACTGGCACGTCTTGTCTCGTTCACTTTCTGCAGGATTGCATCTCGTTTGCGCTTGTTTATGGCTGCTGCATTGTCAATGAAGCGTTTTTTGTTAGCAAAGTTGGGCGAGACAGAGGTATCCGAAAGCTTAAACCTCTCTCAGAATCTAACATTGCACAGTACTGCATAAACTGTAGTATAACAAGGGAACAATCGATCGAAGCCAGGCGGAATTTGAAGGATGGCTTAATACGTGAAATTTATTCATTCTCATAAGCGATACCTAATTACAGTATCCAAGTTGTATACCGTTCATTTAAACTTGGTACGTAACTATATAACCGCAAACTGCATATACTAAGCCCCTTTCCCGTGTGCAAAAGTCTTACACCCAATCCTATTTATTGAGTACGAATGGTCAACAGCCTCCACAGCAGGATATGTGGAAGAAGTTCCTGCATAATCCAACACAATAGGCGACCTCGTAGACTAGCAGGTCAAGTGATAGTGGGCTACAACAGCGTACGGGGACACACATCACACGGTCTACAGTTCAAAAACAAGCTATACACACGCACATTGATGAAGACACGCACCTCCAATCTCTGCGATCTGCTTCAGTAGGTTCTTTTCGTGGTCAGTCGACATCGCAACTTAACTAGGTTTCCGTGATTCAAGAAGGGCAGTGTAGGTGCAGAGTTGGTATTTGTAGGGTGTGGCTGTGTCATGTATGGCGAAGAAGAGAACCTCAGTCGGACGATATGAGTTGTTTATTGGCTCATCACAGCTAATTCACAACCGTCAGTTGAAAGGGAGGCTTATACTCTCGCTCTGAACAGTGGTTTAAAAGATGAACTTATTTGACGTAATTGTTTATAATTTTGTGTACTGCATGGCCTTCGGACGTTAGTTCGACCAATGTCCTATTTATATTCTTATTTCTTTTCTAGAGTAGCGGGTCATGAATGCACACATTTTTACTTTTGTACTTTCCTCTCAGGTCTCTGGTGGAGGAAGTGGCTTTAAAATTATTGTTGCGTCCGCCTTGCCGCCTTGGGCTTGTGCCTTGTGGCCGTGGGCCCGTGGAAAAAATTAATACTGAACTGTATACAGAACATATGTACATCACATGTATTTATTTAACTATTTCCAGCATATTTCTCGACAGTACAACTATTATGAATTCATAGCTAACTGTCTCGGATCAATGTTACGTAAATATGCGCATGTGTGGCTCTTAGAGGCCTCCGCGTACAGGACATGTTCACCAAATACACAGACTTCATACGTAAAATGGTACACCACGGGCTCAAACTCATCAAATACATCCCTTCTGGGTTGTTATGTTGGATTGCACAGGGAGCATAAGAGAGTGGAGGATGTGACAAAGGTGACTAGAAGAGATCGGAAGAATCAACTTCCCAGTTGTATGATAAAGAATGGAGGGCGCATAGGGGTGGATGCAAACAAGCAATCAACAAACTCTCTGTTTAAAAGTCTCACTCAAAGAAAACGTATTGAGAAACAACATATAGGTATCTATAATGGGACAGAACCAGAGAAAAGTATGGGAGGTACAGACAAAGCTAATAAAAATGATGCGTCACACTTCCATCGTCTCGCTAGCCCTTCGCATGCACCAAGAGTGCCCATTAAAACGCAACAGTCGATACAGAAACATACTGTAGTTGCACCAAAGTTTGAACTAGATGAGTGTAACACCATTGAGATAATCAGGAAGGACGTGTTGAATGCGGGCGCAAAAGAGTGGAGGGTCATTCTGGCACGACTTCGCGAGGTGTTTTACCAAGATTACAATCGCATCATGTGCGAGTACATCCATTTTTTGCCCGTGGTGGACAGTAGAGAAGACGAGAGATATGTAAACGGGTTAGCACTACAGAAGGTGCTCGGAGATGTGTGCCGGGTGTGTGCAAAGCCCACAAGAGATGTGTTGGATACGGCGATGTCGTCCGTATTCCGAAGGCCAAAATACTTGACAGCTGCTAATATCACAGGTAATTGTATTAATGAGGAAGTGAGTGTGGTTAGTGGCACAAGATTGCCTCAAGAAGGGGCAGGTTGTAACCAAAAGGATACGAGTGTGCACGACTGTGTGCTGGATTTCCTCACTGCTGGGGCGGTAGGTGATAAGCAAACCAGTGGCAAACAAGGAGACACCCCTTGCATTGAGAGTCTGGAGACCAAGCAGAACATACTCGAAATCCACACACAGTCAAACGAATCCTCTATACTAGGGAAGGGCCTCATGAATCGATTACCGAGCAATGATGAAAACTATGCACCAGCACCGCTGCGAAAGCAGACGCGCAATTACGGGCAACCACACGAGGTGTCAAATCATACAACCCGCACACCACCGTCTGCTAACCAAGCCACGACTTTCAAATTCGCTGACCTCTCCATAGCAACTCTACAACAGGCTATCCGCATTATCTGCCCGGAATCGTGTCCACGGCATACACGCGACACAGCAACGCAAATAGCAGAGGATGAAGCAAGAAGACACGCGTGTGACGAACTCGCCGACATGGGCATACGGGCACGCATGATATTCTACAAGTTGACGCAAACAAATGCGATGGCAACCAAACTGGATTTGCATGGGAACTACAATGTCCCTCTTGCACGGGCCTTGATTCGACGCATGCTGAGGCATGTGGGAGGGGTGCCTGAGGCCGACTACTACGCGGAATTCATGGAGAGCGCTGAGATGTCCGCAGCTCGTGCTTCGCTTGCGTGCGCGTGTGTGCCGGTTCGTCCCACGGACCTGCCGGAGATCGTGCCTTCTCCGACTGTGAAGCGTGTGTCTGGAAACACACAGGTACTCAGAAGATCAAGCACGGCACACGAGGATGCACGCGATGGCAGGGGATATGTTTACCAACAGTCTGCTAGACCCAGTACGCGGGACAATGAGTATTCAGAGGTGATCATACTACACGGGGCTTCCCGTTATTCGAGCGGCTTGCGAGGTGCGACAAGGAAGGAGCTTGCCCGTTTAGGTATGCAGACAAAAGAACTCGACGAGTGGGATTGGCTGGATAAGGGAATGACAATCATACCCCCGTTGGAAATAGGCAAGTTCTTCAATTCGAACGGCGGCAGTAGGAAACTGCAGGGACAACGTGTCTCGTGATGAATACAGGCGAATATATTGCACCGTTGTGGATGAGACGAGGTTAGAGTTTGTGGCTAAAGTAAAGATGGTTATGTTCAGCTATGTGGTGATTTAAGTATTTGAGGTTTTTGCACTTTTGTATTTACATTTTTAATCAAAAATGAGTATCGGTATATATATATATATATATTATATATATATATATATACATATGCATATACATACACACACACACACACACATATATATATATATACTTCCATACCTACGGCATCGTATACTTCTTGAACCAACCTATATACACCATGTACACGGTTGATTACTGAAGGTATTTTATGGCTCTTTTTTTCTCGCGTACACCTATAATTGCAACACAACACTACATATTTACATTCAATTTGTTTTTTTAGAAAGCACTCTCTGCACAATTGAATGTAGTTGGGGGCAGATAACAAATAAGAGAGTATCCATGAGAACCTCTTTGTCATCCAATCTGGAGAAAGAGTACTTAGGAGATACTAGCACCTGTACGCCATTCAGTCTCTATCGACATGGCATTTTGTGGTAGGCGACCACGCTACATTTCGACGCTTCCTCAGCAGATCTTGTATCTACCACGTGCTTTTGGTGCAACTCTCCAGACATACTTGAGTACAGGTTTGCATAGCCAGTTCACTTTTCCCCCCTCCACCTTCGACTTTGCGCTGTATGCAACGCTATAAATCCCTCTGACAATTCACGGGTAGCCGTGTAGGTGTCTATCTTGCATTTAGCGGATGGATGAGATCATCGATGTAAATTCCAAATCGCTGCACACATACTGATACTGACGCGGTGATCTTATACCGGGTCATGTATGCAATGCCATGTGATTTCTTTTACAAGCCACCGCTGACATCGAATTTGATAAAGTTTCTCAAAATTATTTGTGCACCTCTTATTCAGCACTTCAGCGAGTAGTTGACCGTATGTAGCACGGCAGATCCATGGGCAGTACCTCACAAGCTAGTACACCGGTAGTGTGCCTTACAAGTAGCGAGATAATCCTCGTCCTCTGTGAAAATGCACTTCGAAACAAGTAGTGCCCATTGTCAACTGATTGACTCGACTGCTATCGAGTGAAGTGGTACTTAGAAGCAAATGTCCACTTGTTTCCACGTCTCACGGAGCTTGGGACTGGGCTCGTCAGGGTCCGCATATGCAGCAAAAAGAAATGCGCGATTATCCAAACCTTGAGAGCGAACCTTGCATCGACAAAGATGGTAATTCTATATACATACGTTGCTCCTCGAGTGTGCGCAGCCGTGCTACGCTGAGGATATTATAAAGTCCTTAGCAATGATGCTATTGAGAGGTCCATTATGCGGGATTCACGCGTACTTACTGTAGACGTTCCGAGTTCTTCCATTTTCTGCCCATCGCTACGCAGCATTCGTCGATCACTTCCATCTAAACGTTCATGCAGCCGATATACACTCACCGGGAATCATACTCAGCACTAATCGGGCAGGAACGCATGTGATCAACCCGGAATCTGCCCCTAATTCTGGTTAGGATCACACACTGGTCCGCTCTTCGTATATTTTGGGAAGGCTGATCCAAGTTATAGCCGTGTTAAAACTCAATGCAGCATCACATCCTGTCGATTAGATATCAGAGTGGCTATGTTTGTAGAATATGCTATGTAACCTCGAGCGCCAATTTCCTCACCTCTCAGTCTTGCGCATACTTGTACTGGAAACTCGCAAGATGGACGCAATCAGGGCAGGGTTCTATCAGTATTTCAACCGTGCCATTCCCTATTTAAGATCTTGAAACGACATCGATTACGATTCGGTATATGGTCCGATCACGCAGCCTTAAAGATATAAGACATCAGGAACGATCATTTCGGAAGCAGCGGCTATCCGCTATCGGGGCGGTATAAGTTCCGATCTCGCTCAATATACAATTGCAACGGAATCGAAACTGATCTTTGATATCTAGTTACAAAGCAGAGTCTACCGTCTACCTAGGTCTTGGTCTCTCTAAAGGTCGACTCTTCGTGGGTGCGGCATTGCAAGTGGTAGCATGGGCTGCTAATAGCGTTGCAAAAGTGTCATCAGACACACCCTCTTGACAGTTTAAGCGCTCTGCGTCGATGAGTTGCCAATGGCGGACTATTGCTGATAAAGCGTGCTGTTGCAAGATAATATTCACAGAACGAATGAGAATACACGAAACAGAGTACACGAAAGACAAGCACGATGTGTGATAGCTATATCGAGTACATCATAAACTTCATGCAAAAGGTGTAATTTGAACAGATCACGCCACCGTAATGATTAGCAGGTACCTGGGGAAAGTCAATTCGGACGTTCAGGCGCTTGCTCTTTTGGAGCTCAGCAATGGGTTTGACCGACCCGAGCCAACCACCGGCTAAGTATTCATTATTCAAAGGTCTTATTTGGGAGTCCAGCAGTAAGTTCACACCGTGAGAAATAGACTGTTGACGGATACAGAATAAAAGGTGAGAGTGAGTTTGTCTCAAGTGATCACATAGGTTTTCAACCAAAAGTAGCAAACGTACAGGATTCTAGATAAAGTACCAGCAGAACTCAAACTGCGAAAAAGATTCGGTTACAATACGAGCACACCGCAGAGATGTACTAACATACCTTTTGGACCATGGTTTTGTATGGGGTGCAAGTGTCGCCCTGCAGCGAAGGCAGATAGAACATCGTGGCCTGCATACCCTCCATTCGCGTTGCCACAGGTGCAGATCCCATGGCTGACGAGAACAGTGTGGTAGAAGTAGGAATTGAGGTTCAAGCGATAACAGTACTTTCATAATTTCAAATAATTTCCTAGGCATACTACTGGCTACAGAGTGGATTATGAGAGTTTGACCAGATGGCAGCTACGTAAAAACAACAAGCAACATAGTCTGCGCATCACATGTACACCCTGTGGAGCCCGAGTACTGAGAATCGTTCTCTTACTTTTCGTACAATGCTCAATCATTCGCGATTGAAACCAGAAATAGTCAAAATGCACATACTATGTAAGGGCATTTGACAAAGCGTAGCATTGACTATTCTTTCGATAGACGTCATGACCTCCTGCTCCACTTTGGGATTGTATCGGTCAGACCTGCGATGGGCGGGTACCCACTCACGCACTGCAATTAGCAGCCAATGGTCGATGGGAATATCTGACATGGGTTGTGCCGCACGCTCCCTGGCGAGCGAGATGATTCCCTGTGCAAATGGTGACAAAAGATGTAAATATTGTTAGCCTAAGCGAGCCAAATGGAGTGGAAGCCTGTTTCAAGGTCCATTCCTGTGTATTTGCCACAACGATGAAACCGTCGATGAACATATGCCTGGGCATGAGGTAGTGGTAATGAGTACCAGGATTTTTCGCGAATGCTGCCATGTTGAACAAAACTCAATTTATGATTTGCAACAGATGAAGGGCGAAAAATGTACGCTGGCGAATAAACCACCGAAGGTTTACTGCTGCAACTTGTCTGACACCTAAAAGTTCGCTTACTGCGTAGACATATAGGAAGACCGAGTTTGCATCTACGAGCCCTTGATATTCAACTGTGAGTAGCTACGTAGGAGGATATCACGCGCACACAGTCACATACCGACGTGGTGGTCTCAAGGTACATCGGATCTGGAAAGAGATTGTAGAAGTACATCAGACCCAGCATCGCTTCGCCTGTACCGAACATGGACGAAAGTGCCATGAAAATGAAAAAGGGGGACTTGTTAGAAAGTCAATAATCCGCATATGCTGTGTGACAGTCTTTCATGAAAAATATGATGTTGTCTGGACCATATTCAGAAGTGCTCACAGGCAGAGGGGTGTGTGTGTGTGGGGGGGTGTTATAGGCCGAATCGTTGATTATTAAAGTTATTTAAGCAGTAGATTCACGGGTACGAATTCAATGATGCGCTATTTTGAGTTCTATACTGTGCTTTCTACAAAACCCATATGATCTCGATATCTACCTGGATAGTATAGCGATCGATTCGGTTTGTGGCTGGGACCATCGCCATCAACGTAGAAGCTCCAGAACTGCCCACTTTCCGTTTGCATCGCCACGATGAAGTTGGCCAAAGCTTTCATATCCTTCGTTTTGATCGAGCCTGTGTAGATTAAAATTGCATCATCGTGGTGATGCGCACTGATCGGTCAGATTGCCAGCATCACTACTTTTTTTTCAATAGATATCGAAATTTGTTTCGAGACTTGTTGAGTCCTAAAGCGGAGCGCGACTGACACCAAAATAATGTTTAAAATGGTCTTCCATAGTCAACTTTACCACAAATGTGCATCTTTTCTATGACAGCAGAGAATTGTGTACAGACATGCTAGCGTACATACCACTATCTAAAATCATTCACTCACCTGGCATCGTGGCTTCAATCTTCGCCAGGAGGATCAAGGTCAGTCCCGAGGCTCCCAGCTTTGCTCTCCGATGTTTTGAAAATGAATAGATGGCATCGCTCCGTTCGAAGCCCTGCTGGCCATTGGTATGGTAATGGGGGGGATTTACTTGAGCAAATAACAATCAGGTGCTTGAGATCAGGATATTTAGCATTGGGCTGTCCGATGACTACTGATGGTGTAAACTATCTTCATTTTTGCGAGAAAGGTATTGTAATGACCTGGACCGGTAGCACACTGCTTCTATGAACGCACAACAATAGAAGTATACAATGAGTATATTCACGAGTATATTCACTGTACGAGGTCACCATCTCAGTGCTACTGCCTGTATCTTTACTTTCGACATGGAAGTAGATATTACTAATCAAGATTTGACATCATTCGAGTCTCACAGAAGGGATAATACATTTGCCAGGCATTTCAATCACAACGGCCTAAACCAGAACAAGAGTCTCTACACCTACCGGCTGTGCAGGTAGTGTGCGCCTAAGCTCGTTTAAGGACCAGTTTGCGGCCTTGTTGGCTGCTTCCATGGCCACGTACTGTAAGTCCTCTCTCTCAACTGTGAGGTCCTTCTCTCGGGCTACCTGATCGTAAAAGTCTACCAACGCATATCCCGCCCCTGTAAAGAATGTTTTATGTTGACTTTATTGAGTGGTCACATAATGTCTGCGTTCAACACGCGCACGTTTATCGCGAATTGCCAATCTTGGTCAATGTTAAGCGATGTAAATAGTATCGAATACGACCAGTAGCGGATACATCGATAGTTGGGTAAGTGCGTACAGATGGTGTAATTTGTAGAAGTGAAATCATACACTGGGCGCCAATTCTGTGACACAAACTCTCCGAGAAATATTTGAAGCTAAAGCAGCACACAACCAACTTAGAAGAGTGTCATTCCTCAATGATTTTCTCAAGTCTGCACATGTATGCAATTGAATGGTCCAACAATACTGGAGAATGATATATGGGCTATTGCAATCGTTCTGAGCAAATGCATATCATTGTGGCATTTACACGGATATTGTGTAGAAAGATGAAGGGGCTATGCAAATTGGCGGTAATCCGTGTGAGTTATGCCAGCGAAAGGAATCACAGTCTACGTAAGGAGCGGTAACTCAAGTCCAGAAATACTTCAAAGTAGTAACAATGAATATCTGGACCACGAAATAAGATGACAAATCACGCCACACGTTATAATGTAAAAATTAGGAGCACCTGAATGTCTTAGCTCATTGTAACTTGTTTGTTTGGGACCGATGGCCTTCTCACTGTTCGTTGTAAGCAGCCCTGCACCCTTCGCTGTTACCTGCTGTTCGTAGTTGAACATGCCATCCTGGTGCTGCACGCGGCTGATATACTTTGCCGCTTCATGAGCTGCGTACTGAAGTCTGATTTCATCTGTGCGCGATTGTTATGTTTGAAGACAAGATCAGTGGTTGTAAGCGTGATGAGAGGCTGAAATTACAATAGCCGACGCTATAGTAGGCTCACGTTAATCTTCCAAGTATTCAACTTCCATTATTTATAAGAATACCACAGAATTAAACACTTCTGGGATGACTGAGGCTATGTATATTCCTAGTTGACAAATAATGACTTACAGGCATAAAGCAAGGCTGCCTACAAAACCCCTTGGAGCTACAAAGGTGTAGGAATTTGTACTCATTTTATTTCAATATAAATACATATACATTGAAAACTAGAACAGATGCTTGATACGTATATTGCCATCAACAAGAAAATGAGCGACATACGCGTAGAGCGGTCGGCGCCATTTCACGAACATGCCAACAATAGGACTGTATAACGATTGCATTTAGCTAATTGTAAATTGTCGGCGGAATCAAGGACAAGTATTAGCCCAGCACAGTGACAAAGTGGGAAACACATTCCCAGATATCTTATTTAAGTAGCATTTAGCGCGTATTTGATCGCCATAGGCGATCAAGAGCCTGAAAGATAAGCAATTGCTCCATAAACATACGAAGTAAACCGAACAAAACAAACGCATGCCACATACGCATGTATTTGTATAATCCTTAGACACTAAATCTTAGAAACCTATTTACATTCAGTAATCATTAACTTTGTATGTATATATACATACATGCTAACACGCCCACGCGTACGCACGTACATATGTTTACATGTGTATATGTGTATAAATATATATATGAAAACATATATACATACATATATACATACTTGCATACATACATATATACATACACACATACATATATATATATATATATGAAATTTTATGTACACACACATATATATATATTATACACACACACACACATATATATATATATTATACACACACACACATATACATATATATA